CATGGTTCGTAGTTAGGCCAAGGGGTTGCGTGACGTCACAGGTCACGGTCATTTGTGACAAAAAATCGATGGAATCTGAGTTGGCGGAGTCGCGTCACTCAAGACGTATACATCGCTATACATGTAGTGGTCTGTGTACGTGGTAACAACGCCACCGCACGTGTACGCCAACGCACGTCGGCGCACGCATGTGTACGCGCACACGCGACGGACGCCATTGGCACAGCGAGATATATGCACATGCTTCATCGCCGTTTTATCCCATCGCACAGGAAGCCGCCCCCACCGTGACAAACCGGATCCACCCGCTAGCCCGACCACGGCGGCCGAAACGTGTACCGTCAGCTTATGTTGGACAACGCGCTCATCCGCAGATCACTAAGGGCAAGACGGGCCTCGGACTGCAAGCACGTAGGCGTGCGACACGAATTTACCTGGTGAAGAACGCACAGCGTTGTCTTGTGGCGGCATTCAGTCGTGTTCAGTGTCAAAGTGTCAGGCGGCTTGTTCAGGTCGGCTTCGTGATGACAAAACCTCCCTAACAACGTCCTGAGACACCGCCTCCTGGCATTGTGTGAGGGCGAGGTGGGAGCGGTTCTAACTGATTTTGTGAAGGTGAGGGAAGGAGAGTGGTCTAATGATTTGTGAGGGAGGGGAGGGGGGGAAGCGTTCTATGATTTTGTGAAGGTGAGGGTGAAGAGCGGCTTACTAATGAATTTTGTTTGACGGTGAGGGGGGAAGAGTGGTTACTATGATTTGTGAGGTGAAGGGGAGGGGGGGGAGCGGTTCTATTGATTTTGTGAGGTGAAGGGGAGGGGGAAGCGTTCTATGATTTCGTGGAGGGGAGCGGGGTGACGATAGCCGGTTTCTATGATTTTAGGTGACGGTAGGCGCAGGAGCAAGTGGTTGCATATGATTTTGTGAGGCGAGGGCGGGTGAGAGCGGTCATGAATTTTGTGAGGGGAAGGGGGCGTGAAGAGCGGGTTCTAAATTGATTTGTAAGGCTGAGGGAGGGGGGGGGAGACGGTTCCTATGAAAGTTTTGTTGAGGTGAGGGGTGAAGAGCGCCGTTCTAATGAACATTTGTGAGGTGAGGGGGGAAGCGTGGTTCTACATGATTTTGTGAGGGAGGGGAGGGGGGAGCGGTTCTAATGATTATTGTGAGGTGAGGGAGGGGGAGAGCGGTTCTAACTATGATTTGTGAGGGGTCGGCTTGCCAGGGGGTGAGAGGCGGTTCTATGATTTTGTGAGGTGTAGGGTGGAGTAGGCGGTTCTAATAAATTTTGTGAGGACGGAGGGGAAGAGTGGTTCTATTGATTTTTGTGAGGTGAGGGGGCGAGAGGGTTACTATGATTTTGTGAGGTGAGGGGGGGGGGAGAGTGGTTCTCGATGATTTTGTGAGGTGAGCATTGGGAGAGTGGTTCTATGATTTGTGAGGTGAAAGGGGGAAGAGTGGTTCTATGATTTGTGAGGGAGGATGAGGGGGAAAGAGTGTTCTATGATTTGTGAGGGTGAAGGGTGGAGAGCGTTCTAATTTGATTTTGTGAGGGTGAAGGGGGGAAGAGCCTGGTTTCTATCAATTGGGAAGAGGCTTTGATGGTGGCTCACCATCGAAATATTTTAGGAATTGGTCAGAGTTTTACGGTCGCCTGCTCGTCACTTTTGATTCTGGCGGCATATATGTCGACAGATTTTGTTCGGCTGCTGCAGTAGGAAGGAACTTGCGAACTGGCGATAGCTTCATGCGCTGAAGTGAACGAAAGCAACGGCGTCGCTGCAGATCAGATTCAGCAAGTCGTGCGTGTGTACTCTGCGGTGTCATGTGCGTTGGTGTATCTGCGTGTGGTGTCTCGTGTGTATCTGCGGTGTGTATCTGCCCCGCGTGTATCTGCGCGTGTATACTGCGTGTGTATCTGCGCGCGTGTCGTCTGCGCGGTGTATCTGCGTGTGTATGCTGCGTGTGTATCTGCCGTGTGTGGTCTGCGGCGTGATCCTGCAGCGCTGTGTCTGCAGCGTTAGTATCTTGCGCGTGTACTTGCGCGTGTATGCTGCGTGTGTATTTGGGGCGCGTGTATCGTGCGCGTGTGTCCTGGCGCGTATGTATGCTGGCGCAGTAGTTAATCTTGCGTGATTGTATCTGGCGCGTCGTACTCCGCGGTGTGGGGGGATCTGCGCGCCGCGTGTATCTGCGCGGTCGGATCTAAGCGGTAAGTGTTACTGCGTGCGGTATCTGCACCCGTGTGTTACTCTGCGCGATGTATCTGCGCGTGTAATCTGCGCACGCGTGTTATCTGACGTGTCGTATCTCGGCGCTGTATCTGCGCGTGTATCAAGCGCGTGTATCTGCGTGTGTATGCTGCAGCAGTGAATAATCTGCTGTGTATCTGCGGCGTGGTAATCTGCGGAACGTGTATCTGCGTGTGTATGTGCCGTGCTGTATCTGCGTGTGTATACTGCGTGTGTAGTGCGCTGGGGGTTGGTATGTGCGTGTGAGCTCGCGTATGCTATCTGCGCGTGATATCTGGCGAGTGAGATGAGGACTGGCGGCGATCAGTGTACCTGCGGCGTGGGGTAGCGCGCGATGTAGGCGTTGCGGCGGTGGTACTGCGCGTAGTATGACTGCGCGTGTATCTGGCCGTGTATCTGCGTGTGTATGCTTGCAGCGTGTAATTCTGCAGCGGTCTACTGCGGTGGTGTATCTGCGTGTGTAGGCCTGCGTGTGTATGTGGCGTGTGTATCTGCGTGTCGTATCTGACGTGTGTGTCTGCGTGTGTATCATGCGCGTGAGTTATCTGCGGACGTTGATATTATCCTGCGTGTGCTGTCTGCCGCGGTATCTGCCGCGTGTGTTCTGCGCGGTCAGCTATCTGCGCCGTGGCTATACTGCGGCGGTATCTGCGCGCGGTATCGCGCGTGTATCTGCGGCGTGTATCTGCGCGTCGTGTCTGAGCGTGTATACTGCGCGCGTGTATCTGCGTGTGTCATGTGGGTCGTATGGGGTGGAGTATTCTGCGGCAGTGGCAGTGTCGTGCGCGTCGGGTACTCCGCTGCGCCGCGCTGCTACTACCGCGCCCGTAGTACTGCGACCGCGGTGGGCTCGGTAGGACTGCGCGTCTGGGTATGCGGTGCGGCAACGGTGAAGTACGGTTATGCTGCGGTAGGTGAGTGTCTGCGTGTGTGATACTGCGCGTTCGAGGCCCACCGCGTATGGAGCTGGGCCGTGTCAGTGGTGACTGCAGTAGTGTAATCTGCGCGTGGATACGTGCGGTGGTGTCTGCGTGTGTATCTGCGGCGTGTAATCTGCGGTGGTGTCTGCGTGTGCTATCTGCGCTGGTACTGCGTGGGTATCCGGTCGCTGCGTGTGTATCTGCGCAGTAGTATCTGCGCGTAGGTATGCTGCCGCAGTGTGTCTGGCGCCCGTGTATTCTGCGTGTGGTATGCTGCGCGTGTATCATCGCAGTGTCTTTCTGCGCGTGTACTGCGGCGCGTGTATCTGCGCGTGTATCTGCGGTGTATCTGCGTGTGTGTCCCGACCATTGCGGGACAACAACATTGTTCCCCAGCAGCGCGACACCACAAGCATGTTTGGCATGTTTTCTGAATAAAACGTCCCAGCAATAAGGGGGCGGGGCGTTGGGACACGCCAGTTCAGCGAGCACGTGTAAATTAGCACACGACTACGAGAACGAATTCGGATCTGCTAGGACGCTGCGTGGTGTGTATAAACGCAGAGTCTGTCTAACGTGCTGTTTGTCCTGTGGCAGGGAGCGATCATCATTCACAGGAGTGTATGAAGAGTGGAAGGCTGTCAGGAAGGAATGGAACGCCGTGGACGAGCCCGTGACCAGAGCTGCTAGAGGTCAGCACCGTAGAGGGGGGACATCTTACATGAGGGGGACATCTTACATGAGGGGGGACATCTTACATGAGGGGGGACATCTTACATGAGGGGGGACATCGTTTACATGAGGGGGAGCATTTTACAGGCATGGGAAGTGTGGGACATCATTACCATGAGGTGGTGGGACATCTTAATGAGGGGGGACGATCTTACATGAGTGTGGGACATCTTCACATGGGGGAGAACACTTACATGAGCGGGGACATCTATCCAGCCACATGAGTGTGACATCTTAACATGGGGGAACATCTACATGAGGGCGGGGGGACATCTTACAATGTGGGAGGAAGCATCATATATGAAGGGGGGCGCATGGTTACAATCAAAGGGGGTCATCTTAATATTGAAGGGGAGAAACAGTCTATGAACGTGACGGGGGGGAACATCTTAGCATGAAGGGTGGACAATCGTAACATGAGTGGACGGGACATCTTATGTGGGGTGGCAGGAGAACATGCTTCATAGATGTAGGGGGGCATGGTACAATGAGGGGGGAGAAACATCTTACTGAGGCGGGGGGACGATCTTAACCATGAGGGGCATCTTAAATGGGAGGACTAGTCCTGGCCGTTCCCAAGGGAAGGTTTCATTTAATAATTTCTCTCTCGGTCGAGGACGTGTCGGCGCTGAACTGGCAGGTCGAACAATGATGAATCTCATTCGCCGACGATATAATGTTATATAATATGTAATATGTAATATAATGTTATCTCGTAGTTAGCATACGCACACTCGTTAGAGACAGTATAATTTCTTATTGAAATACGGCTCGCTTTTTTGAATCCTACTAGTTTGGCATAAAAGCGAAGGAAGATGCTAGTCTAAGTAGTCGCTAGAGGATTGTGAATATCCCAATACACGTGATTCAGATGACACGACAAGCAGAAATTTGTACAGCCACAATATTTATAAAATTGTGTGTACGCGTGTGACAAAAAAATTGTCATTATTAACCCCTCATTACATTGTTTTACCACGGTGTACTTGTATGGTCAAGGTAGTCGTAAAGATATGCCTGAAAGCAGGACCTGTATAAGCTATATAACATGCTGTGCGTGAACTCGTACTGACTGCTGTTCTCTTGTTTCTCTGCTGAGCAGACGTGTATGGGCAAGGTGGTCCTGGAAATGGGCCGACTCAAGCATAGCTCCCGGGGATCATCCCGCCGGAATTCCGGATCCAGTTCCGGTGGAGTGAGGAAATCCGACTCGAATGTCAGCGCTCATCGCTATGGCGACAGGAAAGGCAAACATGCAAAAGGTAAAGTACTGAGCAAGAGGCTGCGGGTGGCGGGGGGGGGGTGCCAGCCAGCTCGCCGTGAGCACGCATGTAGAGTTGGAATTGATGCGCGTGTTCGCTTAGCGCGGCGCACGTAAAATACGAATAAATGTTAAGCATTAAGAATTTAAAAAGATCTTAAATATTTTATTAGTGAGCTATTAGCGAGACTACATTACAGCTTCGGATGCACACGTGTATGTGTGCGTGCGAGTTTGCGTGCGTGCGTGCATGCGTCTGTGCGCATGTGTGTGCGTGCGTGCGTGCATGCGTCTGTGCGCGTGTGTGTGCGTGTGTGTGTGTGCGTGCGTGCATGCGTGATTGTATTCAGAGTTCACTGCCTGCCGCGCTCTACATGCGTTTTAGCAGATTTCGAATTAATAATACATGCGATATCAAGCGTGAATCAAATAGCGTTTTTGCGTTTTCGCGCAAAACATTACGCCATTTACTGCGGTCGATTTTTGTTAATCGATGCACTTTCGGAAATGTCACGTGTCGGCGTCGGCTATTGCGTTCACACACTATCGGCATGAGTGCGTTACGGCAGTTACTCGTACGCAGCGAAAAACCTACAAGTGGTACAGTACTTGTAGGCAAATGTACAGGTAGCACACAGTTATTAGATGTAATATAAGCAGCGGAAAACCTACATAACAAGCGGTACAGTACGTGTAGGCAAATCTACAGGTAGCATACAGTTCTTAGACGTAATATAAGCAGTGGAAAATCTGCGAGCAGTTTAGTACGTGTAGGTAAATGAACAGGTAGCATACAGTTCTTAGACGTAACATAAGCAGTGGAAACCTACATAACAAGCTATTCAGTAACGTGACAGTACGTGTAGGCAAATGTACAGGTAGCATACAGTTCTTAGACGTAATAGAAGCAGTGGAAAACCAACGTAACAAGCTATTCAGTACTTGTAGCCAAATGTACAGGTAGCGTAATATAGTGTTAGTCGTATCAAGAGTAGATAATAACATGATATATTATCTACTCTTGGTCGTATGTAGCGAAAAACCAGCAAACGTTGCAGTACGTGTATAGGTAAATGTACAGGTAGAATAATACAGTGTTAGTCGTCTGCGTTTACGGGTGAAGTTTCTAAGCCCTCCGCTCTTTGCAAACACATCGCTGTCCGCATCAGCATTATATAGATGCGTGCAGTTTTTACTGCAGGAATTTTCCCTATTGAGATTCACCTCTCGTGCGTGCCGGAGTGGAGGCTGCTGTCGAGCAGAATTTAGTTTGCTTCTTCGGAGTTCTTCCGATAAAAGCGCGACGTCTTCTTTTCGCTTTCCGGCAGTTTGCTTCGCTTCCGACGAAGCGTCAGAATTTTCATCCCGCGGGGGGTTCTGCGTGAGGAATAACTGATGCTAGGCGTGTCATATCGCTGAAAGTATGCCGTGTTTCAGTTCAAATAACGAGAGTGCGAGCGGGAATCACGTATCGATGTAAAACAATGCAAACAAGGGCACTCAGAGATAGCAAACCTCCGCCACAGCTTAACAGTCCCCCCATCTTGCCAGTACAAAAAAATCCTGGATCCAGATCTGGATCCGGATCACCACCAAAATCTAATTGATTGGTTCTTGGCCCAAGACCAACCCGTTCAAAAAATTTCATCAAAATCCGTTCGTAACTTTTTGAGATATCCTGTTGACAGACAAACAAACCAACAAACCAACAAACAAACTAACAAACAAATCAACAAACAAACTAAAGCCCGGCGCACACGTGAGTTATTTTACTCAAGTAAAATGACGCATGAGTCATTTTACTCACGTGTGCGGCGGATTTTCGTTGAGTAATTTGACGCATGAGTCATTTTACTCACGTGTGCGGCGGATTTTCGTCGAGTAATTTGACGCATGCGTTATTTTACTCACGTGTGCGGCGGATTTTCGTTGAGTAATTTGACTCATGCGTCATTTTACTCACGTGTGCGGCGGATTTTCGTTGAGTAATTTGACTCATGCGTCATTTTACTTGAGTAAAATAACTCACGTGTGCGCCAGGCTTTACAGGGGCGAAAACATAACCTCCTTAGCGGAGATAATAATGATAGACGAATGACCGTGTGCGTGTGCGTGCGTGCGTGTGCGAGCGTGTGCGTGCGCGTGCGCGTGCGTGTGCGTGCGTGTGTGCGTGTGTGTGTATATCTTACTGCGCGGTTTTTCCATTCTGGTTAAAAAAAACTGAGCCGTAAATGGTAGTGTAAATGGTAAATGGTAATGGTAATGGTAATGTGTTCTGTGTGAAGTTACCGAACGTGATCAATAATATAATTATAAGTAATATAAATAATTATAATCGGTCTCAGTGTAATGTAATTAGGCCTAAGCCTATTTCTGTATTTTTTGTAGCAATTATTCCTCGAAAATCGCGTAGAAAGCACTTAGCGATAGTTTTAGGGATAATGACGTTATAGTCTACTGTTCTACTTGGTTAGTTATTTGTTCACGTTAAAAAATAGTACGCGATCATTTCGCTCTAAAATCGCAGTGATTGCAAATTGTATCAGCTTGGTTAATTTTCACTAATTAATTAAAAGTTTCGTTACTCTCATTTCGCACCAGACACAGCTACGTCACTCATTTCATAATTATGCAAATATTGTACATGCAAGCAATTTAATACGCGTGTACTATACTCGAATTAATGCTTAAGTCGGCATCTCCTCTAAAAATTTCATTGTATGTTTCTCGTTCAAAAGATATCTTTGTAACACTTAACGCGACGAAATCGACCATAATTCTTTATAAGTTTTTATATTGTTATGATATTTAGCCTCTTATAGGTAAATTAGACGCCTGTATATCAGGTTATTTGAGAGATAATGATTTTTAGCATGAACAACCGCCATGTTTTTTCCAGAGATGCACATACCACCGATACATAATTAATTTACTACGTATAGATGCTATAGCCACTCTTCGTAGATAGTCTCTGTTTAATATATGATTCTAACAGTATTGACTTGTTCTAATCTCTAGATTTTTATGACTTTGATTCTCTTAACCATTTCTCATCCGAACTTCTTTTTTTCTGTTTCCACAGACTCTAGTGATGATAAGAGCAGTGGCAGAGAGGATGGCGATGTGAGGGGGTAAGTTTGCTTGTTATGGCTTCAGTAGGGACTCTCGCGACACTCGCTAGATAATACACACTATGTGAGGGGGGAAGAGTGGTTCTATGATTTTGTGAGGTGAGGGGGGAGAGTGGTTCTATGATTTTGTGAGGTGAGGGGGGAGAGTGGTTCTATGATTTTGTGAGGTGAGGGTGGAGAGCGGTTCTATGATTTTGTGAGGGTGAAGGGGGGAAGAGTGGTTCTATGATTGGGAAGAGGTTCGATGGTGCTCAATCGAATATTTATGGAATTGGTAGGTAGTTTTACGGTCGCCTGCTCGTCTTTTGAATTCTGGCGCATGATATGTCGACAGATTTTGTTCGCTGCTGCAGTAGGAGACTTGGAGACTCCTAGTTCATCGCTGAGTGAGAAAGCACGGCGTGCCTGCAGATCAGATTCAGCATGTGCGTGTGTATCTGCGTGTGTATCTGCGCGTGTATCTGCGTGTGTATCTGCGCGTGTATCTGCGTGTGTATCTGCGTGTGTATCTGCGTGTGTATCTGCGCGTGTATCTGCGCGTGTATCTGCGCGTGTGTCTGCGCGTGTGTCTGCGCGTGTATCTGCGCGTGTGTCTGCGCGTGTGTCTGCGCGTGTATCTGCGCGTGTATCTGCGCGTGTATCTGCGCGTGTATCTGCGCGTGTATCTGCGCGTGTGTCTGCGCGTGTATCTGCGCGTGTATCTGCGCGTGTATCTGCGCGTGTATCTGCGTGTGTATCTGCGCGTGTATCTGCGCGTGTATCTGCGTGTGTGTCCGACATTGCAAACAACTTGTTCCAGCAGCGCCACACACCATGTTTGATGTTTTCTAATACTCCAGCAAATAACGCTGGGCCGCCAAATTCACACACGTGTAAATTACACACCCAGAGAACAATTCGGCTGGCTAGGACCTGCGTGGTGTGTATCTAACGAGAGTCGCGTCTAACGTGTGTTTGTCGTTGGCAGGGAGCGATCATCATTCACGAGGTGTATGAAGATGGAGC